GATTGGCTTTTGGACATTTATGTGTGCATTAAATATTTCTAATTTGTTCTTTTATAATATAGAAGGGGGAAATGGAGCTGGTGCATTTTCGGTTGTACATGGTTTAGTTAGATTATGTCAAGCGCAAGTATGATGCAACTTAATATAGGCATAGTTAGCTCTACTCTTAGGAATATCCAGAAATGATATACTTTATGAGAATTTAAGAATAATAAATGGAGACCAGCAATTGTAAATAGAAAAGAGGAGGATTTGTGAGAAATAACTCTTGTGGGCGTGGCCCATCTTCAGGGGAGGAATCAGGGACATCTTGTGTGTAGCAGGCACAGAAAACAAAAGGAGGTAAAGAACTAGTTTGACTTGCTAGGAACTTTAAAGGAGCTCCGCCAGCAACAACACAGAATACCTGACCAATCAGGCTCAGGGGATGGTCCCAGAAGTCTGAACCACATATAAAGGAATATTTAGAAGGTTGGAAGGCTTACAGCTGGGAGAATTCGTGGCAGAAGCAAGAAATCCATTGCTTTCTAATTCGAGACGCTCAGCTCCAGGAGACACCGTCTTGGGTGAGACCAAGCGGGGAAGGATCAGAGCAGCCACAGACACCTGACAGACCCGCTGAGATAAAAGTGTGGACATTCTTTTCTTTTGGTAGCTGTTTATTGGTCCCTTGCTGTCTGCGCACCTTCATTCTGGTGACCCTAGGGGTGCCTGAGCTAGTGGGCACCCAAGCCCCACCCTCGGAGGGTTCTACTACGCATGCGCACATATCTCCTTGAACCTTAAAGAGGCAGTTTCCAATTAAAAACAAACAGCCACAGCTGGCCCTGAACTGTTAATAACTAGAAAAAAGGCCTGAACGGGGATTGTGGAGCAGGACAAGCAGACAAAAAAGGAAACAGGCCGAAAATTAAATCCTAAGTTACGTCAAAACGACCAACAACGGCATCTTGAAATTTCTCAAGAAGAGAGAAAAGGGAAGCCCATTTCCTGGTCACATCTACCTGGAGGCAATCAGAAAGCATAAAAAATACCAAAATACATACTCATCTGAGTATGAAGGCCACAGATAACCCCTGAAGATGCCCCCAAAACAGAAGCAGATGACTATTATCTGCACATGTCCAAAAACAAGATAAAGTGACTGAAGCAAATAAGCTGGAAGTTGACCTACACTCCATACTGGAAGATGGGCAGCTGTTAGAAATGCCTGAGAAGGAATTCAGAAAAATGATTATAAAATGTATCAAAACACTATACAATGGAGTTGAGAAAAATAAGGAAGAAGTCAGGAAAGTACTACAGGAACAATCAAATAAGACAGATACAGCATTGGAAACTATTCAAAATCTACAGAAAGAGGTCCAAACGATTAATAATAGAATATCAGAAATGGACAATACACTGAAAGGGCAAAGGAGCAGAATTGAAGAGACAGCAGCCAGAACTAGTGAGCTAGAAGATAAATCTCTCAACACAACTAAGATAGAAGAACAAACACAAAAAAGGATAAAAAAAA